ATAATTCTTTGTTGTTCTTCATCATCTTTGAAATATGAAAACTTAACATAAGTTTGTTATTTTACTGTATGAGATATTTATGAATAATATTAAAGAGTGAATACTTGCCTACTCTATGGTACTCAGGGTTTCTAGATTGGGAGTGTTTATCGTTATTTTGGGGAAAAATATGAACTTGGAGAAATTAAATCTACGGGGAGAACTTTAGGAATCATATTTTTTCTTAGAGCATGCCTAAGTTTTATTTGGCAAAAGGTTGGGGGAAAGCCGCCACTTTTAAAATTAAATTTAAATATAGGTACCGACTAGATTTTGGTAGCTACCGAAAAATCTAATAAGGATGATTAGTGACGATAGAACGTGTCGAGTTCGAGCCGAGCTTCAGCCGTAACATGGTCACCGACCCGGTCCCGAATTTGTAATTTACAAAGACGTACCTCGACCGAGCATTTAGGTAGGTACCGTTGCGGCGTAATGCAGTATAATCATTCAGATAAAGTAAACACGGTAAGTGTACTCGTCCGAGGAAAACGTTTCTGTTTTGTCTGAGGTATCACTACGATTGCCCGGCGGCACTGCGCCGGCGCTGTATTCATGCAAAGGGATGTGGCCGAGCCGAAGCGAGTCCAAGTTTTTTCCGAGCGTTGTTTCATTTGGTGCTCGGTTGTCAGAGGGTTACCGCACGGAATAGCGTGAATGTGTCCATAATCCATAAAAAATATATTATTTTATATTAGTTGACTAGAAGAGCTCGATGGCGCAGGTGGTCAGCGCGTTCGGCTGCGATCGTTGAAGTTAAGCAACTTTCGCAGTGGTCGGTCATTGGATGGGTGACCAAAAATCTTCTATCTGGAGTTTCTCCGTGCTTCCGAAGGCACGTTTAGCCGTTGGTCCCGGCTGCATCTGCAGTCGTTAGCACCCGCCAATCCGCACTGAGCCCGCGTGGTGGGTCATGGCCCAATCTCCCCATTCCATAGGGAAGGCCTGTGCCCCAGCAATGGAGACATTAATAGGCTGATGATGATGATGATTCGTTAACTCTGCTACGGCCGACACGGTCTAACGTAAATCATCCTTGAAAATTTCCTAGGTACTTTAGCGGAATTTTGCGCTCTGTCACTTGGCGAACAAAATGCTTTGAACAGTTTTCTACAGTAGTTTTTACCAGGGATGTTGCAGATGCCGATATTTTCACATCCGCGGATGCGGATGCGGATGCGGAGTTTAGCAGGCTCACATCCGCGGATGCAGATGCGGATGCGGATGTATAAGATATTATGGTTATATATATTTGGTTCAAAATAATCCCATACATTACTTTTGGTCGGTGGTGACATTGTTGACTAAATAGTTAGATAAACTATCAATAACGGGAATCACACTGGAAAAATAACGAATTCCGTCATAAAACGATAATTTTTTCTACAATAAAACGTATTACCGGCGTAATATAATAGCATTTATCTTGTGATCTTATGGATATTAGTCTTAAATAATATAAAGTTTTCTTGTAAACTCTTCTTATTTACACACTGTATCACAACAACATTAAAAATACCTATCTATTTTTATGATACGATAAGTAGTTCACTTTCACTTCACAGCGCAAACAAACACGTAATATTTATTCACTTGCAAGAAACAAATGATGCACTAGCTAGAACAAACAAACGTGTCGAATCTTGTCACCAATTTCTTCGCTCCCATTGGTTATTGTCACGTGCGACCGGCACGCGTCAATTACCGGCCCCGCCCAATTTCTTTCTTGTCGCTACTTGTATAATATTCGCATCCGCATTGATTAATGCGGATGCGGAAGCAGATGCAGATGTCCGAATAAATGCGGATGTTCCGCATTTGCGGATGCAGATGCGAATGTTCGCAACATCCCTGGTTTTTACTACGCACCGCCTTCGCGTCGGATGCGCCAATCCGGGCTGCCGCACAAAAGTAAGACAGAGAGCATTTCATTGATTGAATAATGACTTGAATTGCATTTGTTTTAGTTGCAATTTGTCATCCGCATCGTGATCGCGACAGCGCTATACGAAAAAGTAAGACAGCGATAATTACATGTCTATGAATGAATTTTTACTACGCCGCTACCGCAAGCGATTATGGCATTATGGGTGACAGAGCGGGTCTTTCCGTGAGTGTACCTACGGTTATAAATTCCGGTTTCGGTCAGAGGTTGTAATTATCCCCTTGGCTGTTTTGTGAAGATTTTGTACTCATTTATTTTATAATCCGAGATGCGTAACCTATTTTTTTATCTTTTTTTTGTTTCTATCAGTTTTTGGCGATATCGTCCCAAATCCCAATTATTCATTTGGTGAATGCCAAACACTTTCGGATATATAAAAGCAAACTTCTCAATTACAAACAGTAGGAACAATTTCGTGTTAGGTTATTATTAGCTTATAAAAAGTGGGAAATAAAATCATTTCTAACAAATATTAAAAATTGCTTCATAAAAACAAAACCACTAAAAACAAAGGAACAAATAATAAATTAAAGTCCTACATTTTAGTCAAAATAACATTTAGATTGGAATTGGTGATTGAAATGCATATCACTGACACCATACCTATTATTGAAGTTATACTTCTTTAGGCGCATTATGAAAAAATGATGAGAGTGAAATTTTAAGATGCGCGCGCATCACTGTAACACAAAAATTAACAGCATGAAGTTGGTTGAACTTTATTGACTGTGTCCTTTTCCAGACTTTTTATTAATTTATTGTAATTAATTATTTGCATGCAATTAAAAACTAATTTTAAACGATGCCAAAGAAGGATAACTTCTCACGCGCCTACATAAGTACTTGACTATGTACTTTAGATATAAGTAGGTACTGTAGGTATTACTTAAGAAATTAGCACATATATATCTTACCTCTTTAGCTTGTTTTTTATATGAAGTGGATTTTTATTTATGTTAAAAAAGATTTGACCTTAAATTATTTAGTATTTTATACAAGATATACGTATACATTACCTACGAAGGACCACAATAACGCAAGTGTAACGCGTTCGTTCTGCGATCGTGAAGTTAAGCAACTTTCACAATGGCCGATCTTAGGATGGGTGACCAACCAAAAATGTATTAATTCGAGTTTCTATGTTGCTGCTCGCTGCATCTGCAGTCATTAGCCTAAGCTGCATTAGGCCTGCGTAGTGACTCATGACACATTTAGGCTCATAATAAATCCGCATCGTAACATAGACTTACCTACCTTTTAAAAAAAATAAAAGAGATAGCTAATATATTATTAGCACCGTCGTCGTTCATTATTGTATAAAATTTATGGCGTTTTTTAACGAAATAAACCCATATCCAACCTTAACAACAAGTTTAAAATTTAAGTACATCAATCATTTACGTAGGTAAATAAATAGTAGTATTTGGCCCGATTATTCACATTTAAATTTAGAGAGGACCTCCGTAGGTCCTTCTTAAATTTAGTGTGACATTTCTAATTTTAGAGAAAATATGACATTTAGAACGCGTTTCAGAATACCATTTAATCATCTAAATCTAAGTTGAATAACTTAGCAACGTCAATTTTAAATTTAGACATAGTGTGTCATTACAGAATACCAAATTGAATTTGACAATTCTATATCTAATTTTAGTTAGTTTTAGATATAAGTTGGCACGCCAGAATTGGGCCCACTGTACATTTAAAAGTATTTTTATATAGAAATGCATATTAAACATCCATGACCGGAGTACAAATGCTCGTATTCATCACACAAACATCTACCCCCACCAGGATTCGAACCTGGGACCTCTCGAGTCGGCGACACCATGAAACCCGGCGTACAAACCATTCGGCCACGTGGGTCGTCGTGTTTGGCATTGGTTAAAAGTTACTATGTGGCTTCCACCACAATTAACGCACGTAGGAGTGTCGTTGCTTTGTTCACATGTTTTAAAATTGTGATTTCCAGAGCATATTGAGCAAACTTCATTATTTTTGCAAGACTTTGCGATGTGTCCAAAACTTAGGCATAGTGAGCACTGCTTACGTGGAGGAATATAAGTACTGACCACGTGCCGCCAAGAGTCGAGGTATACATACTCAGGAAGTTGTATAGATGCAACAGTCTGCGTCGGAACAAAGCGAGCGGGACCGGTCTCTTCTCTGACCCGTCGCATAAATCGCCTCACCTGAATGATATTTCTGGAACTGCCTATTAATGACTGATTTCAGCACGCCCGTTATTTCAGTGTCAGAAGCCGGAATAGTTGATTTAATCAAATCTAAAAGGTCTAATTCTGATATCGGATATAAAAACATTAGCGTTGTTGGACAGGTCGAATGTTATTCCTATTTTATATTTATTGATGGGTCTCAGATGTAGAATTCCCGAGATGCAATGTTTTCTAATCTCATTAGAGAGCGCTAAAGGACCCCTATCAGAAAAGGGCCTAGAGTCGACATTAGCGAGGAACACTATGAATTCTATTTTCTTCGAATTTTCTGGATATCTGCGAGAATATCCGTTTATTCTAACATTAACAAGCACGCATGGGATGCTCTTAAAAGAGCTGTTTGAAACCGGCAGCCACCACCCCAGACAGTGCCGCAGCTCAGGGAAGCTGCTGTTCAAGAATGGGACAGGTTACCACAAGAAATGCTGGATAACTTGATCCTCAGCATGCCCAGGAGGATCTCCGTTCGAGCAGAGGAGGAGTTGTTTAGTATTAGATAAACAACAATTTATTAATAAAAAGTTTTTAAGTTTGGTTAAACTATCTTTTTATTTCTATCAAAGTTCTATTACATATATCGTAAACATTTTCTCTTGATTAAGTTAAATTTTGAAAATATATCAGCTTTTGCAAGTGATCTCATACTTTTTTTGATGTATGTATGCGTTTAAAACTCTCACGGTTTTGAAAGAAACTCTCACCAATGGTAAGGTACAGTACAGCCCTAACTAAAAATACTAGAAAACTTTGGCAGCCCTGCCACTCGTTCAATCAATTCAGTTTGTGAATGAGTGAATGAATTCATTTGACATTCGCTTACGTGCTTAAATACGTGTGAAATTATAGTGATTTTGTGACCCTATTCCTGTGAAAGAGAAATGAGTATTAAATAAAAATATATGGTATAAGTAAGAAGGTGTTGTCTTGCCAAATTGAAACCGGTTAATAACCATCCAGAATGTCGGAGCCACGCAAAAACCATTTGACCATTGATGGAGGACACGTTACCGAGGACGAGAATGTCGCTTCTTATAAGCCTATACCGGATTCTGATACAGGTAATTTATTTTTTATAAGGGCTTTAATTATGTAAACGACTAAAAACAGAACAGTAATGATAGAATAAGTCGATGATTGCGACCTTTTGATTAGGCGACCCACCCACTTAACTCGTTAACAGCTTTGTCTGAGTAGCTGATGATAAAAGGGTAATTATATTTTTTAAACAAAACGTAATCGTTACAGTATTCGCTCTAATTCATTCCTTCTTTGAAAAGTTGAAGGAAATCGGAAAACGTCAAAAACAGCGAAGGCATAATACGGCCAAATGCCGGAGATATGTCTCCGCTATAAGTTTATCGTAGTAGGAGACCTCCATTATTCAGCCGAGTTATAAAGCGCTTTACGCGCAGCGCCATTTTGTCGATCGCTAAATGTGTGAAGTGTGTATGATGCAAGTTTTTGAATAACTTTCATAATTTCATTTTACTTTGGAGTTATTTGTTAAACAGATGAATGAGGGAACTATAATGAGTGATGCAATAAACGGTAATTTATTTTAATATTGTATTCTTCATATTTGACTAAATAATAATAATGCTTTAATAAAAATATTTGTTTGCCTACCTACTTAGTTCAAATGGCTTTTAAAAATATTCAGATAGCAAGCATAAAAATATATAATAAGTATTTTTCAGGTTCTGAAATAAAGTTTAGTGACAATAAACAGGTAGAAAGAGAATTTGTTCAAATGAATCAAACTGACATCATGGATAGTGATGTTCAAGATGATGAGGATCGGTGGGACCACAAGAATATTGAACTTCTACTGAACTTTTACATGGAAAATATTGAAAGGTTTCGTAACCCTAAAATAAAAAAAAAGAATGTATGGGTCGATATTGGTAATGCGATGGGACGGTCCCCAGAATCTTGTGATAAGAAGTTTAGGAATTTAAAATTAACCTATGTTAGATTGTTAAAGACAAAAAAGAACAAAAGTGGACAAAGAAAATGGCCATATTTTGAGACATTTGAAGAAATATTTAATGTTAATGGAGAATACCAACCAGATATACAACAAAAAATGCAGGAATGTGATACAGAGAGTGTTGCTAAGGTTCTGCTTTCAATGAATACATCATCAACTCATGATCGAGATGTGGATGTGAGTGGAAATTCAACAAGTCAAAATGATGATGCCAGTAAAAAATTAAACAGAAAGCGTTACAATGAGTTCAAAAAAATATCAATAGAAATGAGAGATAGACAAAGGGTAGTAGAGGAAAAATTAGATAGGTTAATAAGTATAGTTGAAGAATCAAATAGCATACAAAGGGAGAGAAACTCTCTTTTTGAACAGTTCCTAGAAAAATTGAACCGTTCATAGTGAAACAAATTTAGGTTAATGTGTATATATTTATAAATTTCATCAACCAAATTATTGTATCTTTTTAAGTTGAATAAATATACTGCTAAATTTACTTTTGCATGCTTAATTTAAAATGAGCTCACCTGTGCTCACAATGAATCTCCCTTTTTGTATACAATTTTATGCAATGTAGAGTTTGTTGAATATCTATGTGTTTTGAACTTGTGTTTATTTGGACAGGAAAAAAGCCTTTTAAATATTACCTATCTTCTATTAATTGCATTACCCAATAATTATAGGGCAAGTCAAGTGAGCCTGTTGATTGATTTAGTCTGACACATATGATTCTTTTATATTATTAAAAACACAATTTTATTTCCGTCTCTTGCCACCCACTCATGGTGTTATAAACTATCTTGATTGTTTACCAATGAATTCTAGTAATATACATGCATAAATTTCTAGTAATATAAATGCAGAAGGCATTGTTGCTTTTTTATGTAAAAAGGGTGGCAAACATATATTTTGCTGCACCTAATAATAAGCATCTGCCATAGCTAGAGTTCATGATTTCTCAAGCTTTTCAATTTCTTAGATTGTGAGAATTCTCAAGGCTTCTTTGGTTGTCGAGAAATTCACATTTACATACGTTTTCTCATATTATTTGGTTCCAATAACATGAACAAATTCAGTATTTTCCTCTCAAATAAAATTATCAAATTATTTATAAAACTTTAATTGATTATATACAAAAACATTAATCTTATGAATAACCTAATTAACTTAAAATAAAGATACAGAAATAATATTATTCAGACTCATAATAATATAATGACAGCACCATTATTGGCTGGTTATTTAGAAAAAAATCAACTAAAGACTTGTAAACAAAACTAGCTTCTCTAAAACAAAAAAAAAATACATGAAAGAAAACGTTAATATCTTAAATTCAGGTAGAAAATAAATATAAATTATAATTAACGTAAATTAATTAAGTTGCGTGGCGCCACGCAACACAACAAACGGCGATTTAATTTCTCGACTTTTCTCGAGCTTGATTTCCTGGTAACAAAGCCCAACGATTCCCTATGAACCCTAGCCATAGCCTATACCAGAGTATCACTGGCGCCGATGTCTACCGTGGCCTCTATCCCCTACTTGATGCCCCGGAACCTTACAGTTCAAGTTGAGTTGGGAAAAATTGTTCCATCGACCCCGGTTAACGATGTGGTCAGGGCGACTACGTCGTTAACCGGTGTGGATGGAACAAATCAAGTACCATCTACCCCGGCGTGTTTTGAGTACCAAACACTACATTTCTTGCGACGGAATCAAGAACCTGAACCCAGAATCAAGTCTTCAATGATTTTCTTTGTAAAGGTATCTTATTTTTATTACATGTATTATTAAATGCACATACAGCATTCGTATTATCTTCGTATACTTACCGTTCAATATTGAATTTATCACGGCCTACAGAACCAACTTAAAAAAAATTAAATAGAATATTTGGGATTTATTATATTGTGCATTTTTTCGTTCAACCCGTTTAACCAAAAGGAAGCGAATTGGGCAACATCAAGGTATCGTCTACCGACTGTAGACACGCAGCTCGACGGCAGAAGTAATTCAAAATTTTTAACGCAAATTTTAGCGCATTTAGTACCGAAGCCAGCCGAAGCTTCACCGCGTAGGTGTGGGAATAGCAAAAGATAAAATCTAGCCCTAAGTACTTAGCGGATAAAAACACAGACGCGGAAAGCGACTTTATAATTTATGCTATGTTCATATCATGGAGTGGTTCATATCAATAGTTTAAAAGCAAAATCGCTTAACTGCCACTTTAGTAACTTTACAAAAACATCGATTCAAGTTTCTCTTTATCAAAAAATATAATAGGTATTTAAATATGTTTAAATCCAAAGAAAATTTTACTGGAAACAAATATCTTTAAATTTAAACATCTAGCAGTTAAATGCTTAAAAAATAAATAAATCATTAGGTTAAACCTATTGTAATTCAAAAGTAGAGTCATGAAAAATCAAAGTTATTATTACGACCTTGACGACCCGGGTTTATCTTCTAAGTATATGTAAAGATAATTTCTAAATATCTTTCTTTCGAAAAAATTCTAAGAGCTAATTTGTAAAAGAATAAGATATAATTATGTCGCTTACAAAGCGACAAACGGAAAATCTTTCGGTGCTGTGCGTCTAGATAGGAGGCGATAATCGACGTTGGTTTAAAAAAACACATAAAGAAGAGTCATTTCTCTTCAGTGTTATGATATGAATTAAAAAAATTACAATATTAAAACGCTTAAGCGCCAAGAAAGTGATCAAATTTTTACGATACATACGGACGCAGAAAAAAATGCTACAATGATATAAGTACATTGTATACTAATACAAGTGCAATAACTCATTTGCAAGGAATGCAAAGCAACGAAGTCGAATAAAGACCGGCCAAGCGAGCGCGAGCGCTCCCTGCCGAGAGCAACAAGAACACGATTTATACGTTTCCAAGAAGACTGATCATTTGTAATTTTGCGAATTTCGGTACTTAAGCTCGGTCTACGTGTAAGCTGATTCGAAACGAAATAAAGCTCGTTAGGCATTCTTTCACACAATATGTTCTGTTCATATTGCTAACGATTAATTAGTTCATGTTCCACAAGTTGTTCTAGTTCGACCTCTAAAAGTTACATCCACAGACGCCAACTTAATTTCAATTTTGTCAAAGACACGTGTCTATTAAACTTAACAATTATTTCGTAGCTACTTACCATTACTAGTTTTAATTCACGTGCCCCGTGAGCGTGAAGCTCAGTCAGTGCCCCTAGCATGAACCAAAATCGAATTCTTAACGTTTGCGAGTCCGAAATGTCATTGTCAAATGTGTACTGATTTTTAGTTCCCGTTACGTCCAAAGTGGCGCTGCTGTTCAAGTTTCCATACAAAATTTGACATTTCGGTTTGCAAACTATTCGAATTCGATAATAGTTCGTGCTAGGGGTACCTGTACCCCTGAAATTAATTATGACAGTACCTACAGTAACTGTCATAATTAATTTCTCGATAAGGAAATCTAACCAGCAGCGTTATTCCTTTATGCATTATTAGTTATTCGCCACCACCCTTTTTAATAGGTTATGAAATAATATGAACATCAAAAACAGATCACCAACATGTTAGGCTCGTGACCACGGAACCAAACCCTGAACATTCATTTCTGCAAAAGGCTAGACGTCTTCCTCGCCACCGGGAGTTGCAGTCGCCACAAGGATATCTGTGGGCTCCTTTCTCACTATTTCAGCTCTGAAGCTCAATGAAATGAGTCTTAATAGTTCCCGTGTATTTTGTGTACTATCTGAAAACACACACAGGGTTTTATGTCTGAAAAACGTAAAATATTTACACGTTGTAGCGAAGTGTAGCCGCGGCGAGAGAGCGTGCCCGACTGAATGCAAGTCCGGCAATTAGCTGACTTCCGTATTGCCCAATTAGAAGCGTGTACGACGTATCTATAACTTTAACTTTTTTGACATTTACAATGTGTAAAGTATCTTAGTGGCTTTATATTAAAGCATTAGTGGATCACTAAAAAGCTCGGTGATTATCACTTCCATCTGTCAAAAGCAGTTAGCGAATTGGCCTACAGGGCCCTACCCAGTAAAGACCAGAAAAT